TAGAGTTGACCAAGTCCATCCATGATAGACATATAGCATGAACCAGAAGAGCCTTTGTTGTTACAATAGCTGATAACATGTTTGGATTGTTTGTTACTGCACATAACCTAGCGTATCCTAATTAACAGATTCTCTCTGTCTCGCTCATTCACCCCAACCAGAGCAACTCTGTATTTGTTTTACATGTTAGCTTTCTGCATAAGATTTTGTTTCATAGAAGAATCCAAGAGCTTAAAATAATTTGAAACTCTCAATCAATGTGATTTTGGAGGCCCCTTCCAGTCAGAAATCTATGATTCTATACAGATCCTTCCAGCACTCCAGCTATCCTCGCTATCATCTTTACATATTTTGACTTTATTTCCTCTCCATAAGCTTCTGTTAATTTGATAATTATCTCTCACAGAGATTTACTTTCACAAGCAATTTTATGTCAATTTTTGGATCTCAGAATGATGACCCACTTTTTCTTCACCACATGTACTTTCACTTATCACAATCAGAACAGACTTACCTGCCAAAGTTGACAGCTCCACTCTGACAATGTGGAGACTTGTTGCGAGCTGTCCCCATACCGTCTCTGTTTCCCTGAGATGCAAATGAAAATATGCACCTTTACTTTAGAATTATAGCTAGTCTGAGTGTTTTAGTCAACCAGTATCCCCCACTGTGCCTGCTCAAAGGTCTATATAAGAAAGATTTCTAATAAACTTACTGATTTTTTAATATAGTAAATACACATAATATCAATGTTCCTTTAATAGTCTGGTGGCTTCTGAAATCTCCCTTTTTCAAGAACCAGCTAGACCAGAAGGGTTGCTATGGATAGCTTAAATAAGATACCAACTGAAACCTGGGAGATAAATCAGTAGTTATCAAATTTTCTTGTATCTAATAATAAATCTAATAATCTCCCCCCAGAGCCCCCACCAAGTTTCTAATTCATTTGATCTGAGGTGATGGCCTGGAATCTATATTTTTAATAAGGGACTCTGATGCAGATGGTCACAGAACTACAATTTGAGAAATGTTTAGGCTTGATTTTCAGCTGTTTTTAACCATAGGAGTCTGGTTAATTTCAAATTCCAGGGTATACAAGAGATTCAAAACATTCAGCTAAAAGTACTGCAGGAAAACTACAGGTCATTTCTAAATATTTCTTCCTTGGTAGTGGAACCAAGGCATGGGAATGAAGGAGCTGAGATTTCACCCAGTAAGTAAGGGATCTACAGGAGACGAGGGGGTGGTCTCTTATCTAATGGCACCAGTGATGCCAAATCAGAGCCCAAAGCTGGTAAGCTGCTATGGTAGGAGAACCAAGATGAGGAAGACAGCCAAAGCAGGTTCTGAAAGTGAAGCATAAAGACAGGAAGACGAGGAGGTGAACGTAAGAGTGGCAGATGCAGGCAGTTTCTGGAGGAGAGCACTCAGTGAGTCCTAGAGACAGGCACAATGGCTTAGACGTAGAAAACTAAGGCAAGTCAATAGGAACAAGCCCACTAGAGTAATTCAACCCCTGGGGTAAGGAAAAGGAGTTTCTGGGAACTAGATCTCATGAAAATTGGGCTGGGTTTTAACCCAAAGTGACCAGGAGTGGGATGAGCTGAAAGACAAGTATAATCCATCACTCAGGGAAGAACCAAGAGTTAAGCCAAAAAAATCTGGTGGATAAGTTAAAGGATTAACTTCATGGAGCTAGGAATAAGACAAACTTTTAGAAGCTAAAAATTTGGGGAGCTGGTAGAAACCAGATTGGAGTAGAGAGGACAACACCAGAGCGGGAGTGAAGAGAGAGGTCAAAGGCAATTGCCCTGTTGCTGCTATGAGGCTGGCCTCTTGTTTTGGCCCCACGTGGTGTGGAGTGGGTTGGCCTGGTTTGAAGACAAATAAGCCAGGCAGTGACCTGTCCCTACTGGATCACAAAAAGCATGGGGCCCTTGTACCCAAGGCCTCTTTTCACAGCCAGAACTTGGCTGAGGTCTATTCATTCAGTTTGGCAATGAAACAGGCTGAGCTATCAGCTGCCAAGCTCAGCACTGAGGAGTCGGGGTAGATGGTTGGGATTACTTGGGGCACGCAATTTGCCAGGCTCATGTTTGGCAAACAAACACAGCCTAACAGAGAGACAAAAGGTTTGAGAACAAAGAAGGTCTGCATTCTCTCCTTCCTCATCTTCTTTTTCCTTCCATTATAGGATGCCTTTACTGAAACAATGGGCCATGGCCCAGTAATTACACTGAGGCTGTGTTCATTGTTTCTCATCACAAATTTGGGCACATCCTTCCCCAATTAAAAATTCTTTGTGCTAAAGGAGAAAATAATTTAGGGCTCATTACAGTTTTGTTTTCAAAGCAGTTAATAGAATATGGTAGATAATGGAGGGAGAAGGCAGAACTGGGCTGGAAAACTGGAAAATTGACTCCAGTCCCAGTTCTGACATTCCCAGTTCAGCCATGTGATTTTAAGCAAATCACTTCATCTCTTTAGGCTTTTGTTTCCTTGTTTGTGAAAGGAAGGCTATTGAATCATGGTTTCTAAATGTCCTTCCAACTCAGACATTCTCTGACATCCATGATTTGAAAAGCCTGGATTGCACTTCCTTCCTACCTAACAGGAAAGCTTAGAAAAATGGAGCTGCCTCACCTTGCACAAATAGGTGCCTAATTGTTGGATGAATGAATGGAAGGATCAGAGAATAAGTGACATCCAATGACACACATTCTGGGACATCTTCATGAAAGGGTTGCCAAACCAAGATGAGAAAGACACCCAAACAGGTAACGAACGTGAAGCATAAAGTCAGTCAGGGAAATGGGGAGGTGGATACATGAGTAGTAGATGTAGATCCACCTTTGACTTCCACAAGTGGGAGCTCCATTGATGCTGAGTCATAGAATCATAATTACGGAGGCTCAGAACTCAAATGAACCTGAAGACCACTGTCATGTCAAGCCAACCCATTTAACAGGTGGAGAAATAAGACTAGGAAAAGTGACTTGCCTGTGATCCCAGAGCTAGCTGGTAAAAGAGAGCTAGGAGCCAGCTCTTCTGCTTCTCTTCCCTGTGCTTTTCCTCTGCATTGTGCTGCCTCACATTTAATGAAAGAGCAGAGAAAAAAAAAAAAATTGGAGCTGAAGCTTTAGGTAAGGGCCCAGAGTTGACAACCCAATGTGACTTTAATGGCAATACTGGAGAAAAAGACTTCCCAAAATGTTTCAAGAAAATACCTCTTATCCCAACCTATGTTCCTTCCTCCCATCCCTCAATTACAACTGAATAGGGACATAGAGAAGCGGGTTCTGCAAAATGCATACCCCATAAGACAAGATGACCAGAAGTAAAGACAGAAAGAACTAATTTTAGTGGTATTCTGGGAATAATTCCAAACAGATTTTGTTTTATTGAGAACAGTCATGAGCAGTGGCAAAAGTTAGAGCCTCCTTCTCTCTCCAGAACTGTGAAAAACCCCCTTACCATCTGGCCAGTGGCTTTGTCAGCTGACTTTCTCATGAGACATCCATACTCCCTAGACTTCAGGTTTTCCTTCTATGAAACAGAGAGGGACAGAGACAGTAATATTCTAATGAGGTTCATATATAACCAAGCACCAGATTCATCCACTCAAAACTGCCTTTATTAC